CAATGCAAAGGATGAGAGACATCTCAAGAAGGAATCTTGAAGGAGGTAGGGGATAAGTATGATGAAATGTTTTCATAAGCTTATAAAACAGCCTTTAATTATGGAAATGGAAATTGAAAAGGTAAGCTTAACTGTGTTGACACAAACCACATGAAAGTCCACAGTCTGAATGTTTTATGCTGTTTTAATGTAATCTCTTGGTATTACCTTTTATTCGCAAAACTGGAAGCAAATTTACAAAGAACCTTCTCAAATCATGCTTACAAAATAAAGCCGCTTTTTCCACATACCAGGGAATATAACATGCAAGAACGCCACATTAAGTCACAGCTTTCAAATGGTATAGAACAGAAACATTAATCTTTTCAGAAAACATTTAGGACAGATGTAAAGTCATAGATATCTTACTGTCTTATCAGGACTTTGACAAAATGTGATGGAAAAAGCAAAATAAAGTTATGATTTAACATATATTTGTACGTGTAAGATTTTCTGGAAGACACGTACGGTCATCAGTTGTCCCTCACCAGTCCCTATGTAATGGGATAGGTAAAAGACAGCATAGAAAGGACAGGATTGCAGTTAAAACACTTAATTCTCTTAACTCGAAAATAGATTAACCTGCAAGCATAAACTACCTCATAACAACTTTCATTGTTCCACAACTTGATTTACTACATAGCAAAGATGGAAGGGATCAGGATATAAGTGATTAGGAAAGCAACAGCATAAATACCAGGCAGAAAAAATGCATGTATATATATGTATATGTTACATAGGCACACAAGAATACATACATACACACACAACAGCAATTAACATATTAAAAATACCGATGTATAAGGTGATTGCAAAGCGGCACAAACTCCAGCCAGTAACTGTTAACACTGAGAGTTGCTTGAAACTTTAGGGAAGTAATTAACCTCCTGGCCCCCAGTTTTCAAGCCCAAGGACTAGACCATAGAATTTCTTTTACAATTTATGAACAAGCCAAGGAATTTATATCACAGTCAGAGGATTCTTTTGCTGAATTAACCCGAGCTCCCTCTGACCCCCAGAAGTCATAAACCAACAGGATACGGCAGAGGGAGAATGTGCTCTAGTGTTTCAGCTGACCTATGGAGCGCTGCCTCTGTCATGCCAAGGCTGGAAACCCAGATGATGAATTACAGAGCAACATGCTAGGTTCAGATGCAAACATCAACCCCTTTCCTCTAGATGTGCACATGCCGACATGTTCACTCACCCCAAACCAGCTCCATTTCTGCAAAAGGCCAAGTACTGTTAGGTTCATTTAGAGAGTCTTACTCTAAGATAAAAGAGGGAAGAAAATTGCTTATCGAGGAAGCATGCACAAATCTGTGAGTAACTGTATTTAGGAACACAGGCTGTGTACTAAATAAAAGCCAAACCCCTACTGAGTTTCTCTTTTGTATATGGATTATTAAGCATATCAACAATACAATTCCAAAGCAGATCCCAAGAACCTTGACTTTTATAAAGAACAGCTTTATAAATTTAAAAAAAAAAAAGAAAAGAAAAAAAAAAAAGGCAAAAAAAGAAAAAAAAAAAGGATAAAAACTGATACACAACTCTCTTCAAAAGAACTCTGCCTGGCTTTATTTTGTAAATACAGAACAAAGCCGCTTATACAAAGTAGCTAATAAAACAAAGTCCAGCTGACCACGTGCACAGAAAATGGGATAACACCAATGTCTGCACCAGGACCTCAAACCTAATCAGCTGTAATCACCAGGACGTGAAGGTCTTCACAATATTTACACTTCTGGTGTACTGCTTAGTTGCACCAGCAGCTTAACCCCAGCTGAAGGCTTAGTCACAAAGACGGATCGCCTCCTGAAAGCGGACAGTGGCTGGTTTTCACTTCTAGCTCAGAATGAAAAATGATACTTTGAAGTCTGACCAACAAAAAAAGAAGGGCAAAGTTTTGAGTTGATTAATTCAAAGCCGCAGCATTTAATAGATAGCAAGACCATGAAGTATCCAACACGGTAACATTTAGAAACCAAACACCCCGTCACTGAATAAAATAAGTTTGTGGCTCCACTGTTCGATGAACAGCTTCTCGGAAAATCCCTAAGTATTCGTCAAGGATTTTCACAATGCAGTGAACTTTGTTACTAAAAGCCATCAAAGGAGTACTGAACCTTTTTTGCACTGTTTGCAGAGGACATGGATTTCCTTCACCAACTACCCTTACTTTCTTTGGGAAGGATGCAAGCTATTCCTCAGAAAGCTATGCTTCCTCAGGCCCACTGAACGTTGGACAACAAAAACCACCTCTCCAGAAGTACAGCATGAATGTAATTGTGGCAATTTCTCACCAAATCTCACAGAAGGCATTTTGCCATATAACATACAGATTTTTTTTTTTTAAACCACAAGTCACAACCTAGTGGCAGCTCTCTCCCATTTTTGTTTGTTTTTTTCCCACATTTCATCAGGGTAATCAAGAAATGGTTAGAAACCATAATAGAACGACATCAAAAACAACCATGAAAAGGTAATTCACACTGAAGGATGTGAATTAGAAAATTCTCCACCAAGAATGTGATTGACATCACAACAGCACCTAGACTAGAAAAGGAAAGGAACAGAGTTTATTTATCACAGGTAATTATAAATGAACTTAGCAAGCTGTTTTTCCTGAATTAGTAAATCTCTTTAAAATGAGTGCTTCTAGCTTTTTAGGTAGAGAAAGAGTCCTTGAAATTTTCTCCTCCTTCTGCAGCGTTGTTCTTTCATAAGTTGTTTTCACACATAATTCCAACCTGGCAAAATAGTTTCTCCCACCATATTTAATTTACAAATGTACTGGCAATCTTCAGTGCCTTTCTACTTCAACTAAGTTCAAAATGTCGTAGTTTACTGTTTCTTGTATAATAGTGGCTACAAATTTTGCAATGCTCTACAGTCAAGGTTAGAGGTCTCTGGTGTGTGGTTTCATGCAACTCACCTTAGCCTAAATCCTAAATTTAGGAAAGCCTGCCTGAGAGAGCTGAAACATTAAATGTAACTGGTAGCAGCACATGTGTGAAAAACATTTTCACTCAGACAGCTATAAAGCATTTTCCCCAAGAGCTATCTGCACTATCAACTTTAAAAACTAGGGCTTTCCCACTCTGTGCAATCTGTTGCATAACATCGATAGTACATGGAGAACCTACCTAAAGTTTAAGGAAAGGGCCTGTGAAATAAGAATAAACAAAAGCGCCACACTAGTACAGGCAATAAAGCAGACTTACCTGCAAAAAACATTGGAATGTGAATCCAGAGATTTTAGTGAAGAAATAGAGTAATATTTTGATATTCTTTTAAGCATTCGGGGGGTGGGGGGGTAGGGAGAAATCTATAAAAGTCATAATTTTCATGAAAATCTCGTATGCCAAAATATCAGAAAAGTAAAGGGTAATGTAGTTCCTCATGGGACAGCAAGGTGAAAGTAAAGAAATACCCACAATTAAACCAGAAAATAACTTCATGAAAAAAATTAACACAGATTAGAAAACAAGTCAGTCACATTCTTAGAAGCCTGGATTGATGTGCTGAGTGACTAACAGTGCTACTGAACTGCTTCCTTTTACTCCTGTCTACCTGATTCATTAAAGGTGGGTAAGTGGTTGGTCCTTCCAAAAGGCACAGTCCCCAAGGGTTCTCTAAATCCTCATACCACATGCTCCATGAGCATTGCATTTTCTTTTTCCTTCCTCTTCTCTGCATCTTCAGAAAGTCAAAAAAAAAGAAGAGAAACCCAGAGCTTACAGGACAGAAGACTGAAGAGAAAGACAAAACACACAAGATTGTGCAGGAAGGGCTTTGAAAGAAGTCGCTAAGGTGGAGCAGTAGAAGAAAGAACAAGAACAAAGAGAAGGAACAGATAGAACTACGGCGTTGTGATTCTGGGTCTTGCCAGCTTTGACCTTCAGTATCTTTTGTGTCTATGATTATACAGTACACGCAAACCACCCAAGCAAAATGCATATACAGAGGCTTATATGTGTAGGCTTTTGAGGGATAAATGTTCCAAACATGGGATTTAGTAAAGAATAAGAGCTAAAGATAAAAGTCAATTTTAGACTTTTATTCTGACTGCAAGACCAGGATAAAAATTTGCTAGTGTCTATAGCAGCAAACAAAAATCACAATATATCAAGAACTAGTAAAACCTGTAATCTTAAGAGGTGGTCTTGATAGACTGAAGTGATTAAGACTTTTCCAAACATAGTGGAAAGCCAAATAATTAAAAGCACCAATTCTGTCATCTCCTTGCAAACCAAAATTGCTTATGCAAAGTGAATGGAATGTCATAGGAAGGCTATTTGTCAACTCATGCTTTGACTGCCAAAGGCAAACCTATACCATTTTATGTTGGAAACAAATTATCACAAAGAAAGCCCTTTCAGTTGCCTGCCGTGTATTTGAATGAACGCATAAGCTCACAAAATGAAACCTCTCAACATGACTAATTTATTTTCAGTGTGTTTACAGCAGCACGTATTTTATATTGCCACCCTATCATGTTATATAAGTTGCATAACTCAGACCCAGAAATATTAGGAGACCAGTAGAACAAGTCAGATGTTGCAAGAGAAAATAAATTCTGAGTTAAAGCATACTCAAGGTAGAACATTCTAATTTGAGTAACATGCAGGTTGTGGTAAGGTCAGAAGTTACATTAATATGAAATCAGAGTTTCAAAACACCTTCACAGCTACAGAGATGAATGAACTCATACTGTATATAGATATAAATATTCATGTATATATATACACACATGCAAGTTCATACATAATTACAATTGAGAATAGAATCTGGTTTTATACATTAAGCAGGTAAAATGTCTGAAAAAGATGCTGTGTTGGACCTACCTGTAAGTTTGTATTTCTGTTTGTGGATAGACAAATTGTGGACATACTTACAGATACCTTGTTATATATTTAGAAAGTCTTCTCTATTCATTACAATAAACAACACTGTACCTGTATGGCTTCGAATATGAACTCTCAGTGTTCCATTGCTTGCAAACTTCTGTCCACAATATGGGCAAATCTTCTCTTTTTCTCCTGTGTGAGTCTACATGGGACGAGAAAAGACAAGAATGAAAGCTTCAGCAAAGCTTTAAAAGAAGTGAAATACAGAATATTTTAACTGTATTACATTGACCACTATTATCCCCATTACATATTTTATACTACCACATCAGGCAGAGATTCTAAGGAATTAGCTACAGGTATTCTTTCAGTTTTCTGAAGTTTTCATTATTAATGGCAAAATAAACTGCTTTTTCAGTTCCTAAGTTTACTATTTCCTAAATAGTTACTATTAAAAATGCCCAATTCACCATTGTATATTTTCATGGCTGCAAGACTAAGACACCCATTTTTTCAGTTTGATATCTATGATACTGGTTTCTAAACCAGCAAACAATAGTTCAGTTACATAATAAAATTAGTCTTCATAAATGGGTTTATTTTTAAAAGCTTGTCATATCACAGAATTTTATTACATTATCAAACGTAGTGAAAATTGTTTGCTTAACTTAGTATAACATTTCCTGCTGCAAACTTGAAGTGGAGCTTTAAAAGGTCTCTACAGAGATTTGTGCATATCATTTCTGACTGACTGTCTCATATGAATGAAACACAGCCATCAGTTCATCTCAAGTATGACAACGTTCCTTCGAAGTGCAAGTTCTTAGTGATTTCCGTCAACACAAGTTGCTTACTGGATCTATCTAGTTTGTGATAAATGATAGAATCAGATTGCATTTAGAGAACGGATCACGAGAAGTGTATTGTAATTGTCAGTAATACTAAATCATACTCAGAGTTTGCCTTTTGAAATCAAGCTTTTAAGGCAAGAGAACCTTGCTGCTATAAGAACAATTATTTCAAAACTGAAAAAAATTATCACAAATTCTCCCATCCATGATTTGGTCAGCAGTAAAAGCACCCTGAAGTAAGTTACATACACGTGTTCTCATCATTTTTCACACTGTACTTTCAAGGCCCAATTCTGAACTGAAGATTTATCAGCCTGTTGAATAATTTTTCCTTATCACTGTGACTGCTCTTTTAGTGGAGAATTTTGGATTACTTCATTTAAAAGTGTTAATTTAAATGGGATAAGAAAGATGACACATTAAATTATACGTATAGCTGACTATTTGAGTTTTAAGCTTTGCACATGACTCTCTTCAGATAGGGAAATTAATTCTTATTTTTATGAAAGACATTGAAGTGACACAAAATTCTTCATTGCATCATAAAAACCTTATCACACATAGTATGTATTATGATGCAGCTGAAGGAAGAGTAAATTTCAATACTGGACAGACTTGCATGGTTTTCATTCCCTGACATTAGGGATACGAATGTTAAAGTCCCTCTTGATTAGGACAGAGTTCTTTAGAAATTACTTGTATCTCTAACAGCAACATTGTGGGATGCCAGACAGACAGACATTAATTCATTACAAACAAACAACAAAAACCCAGAAAAAAAAAGGATTTCCAGGAGCAATGCATTACAACTACAAGGCTCACAAACATACACCTAGTCCTAGTCTGACAGAAGCACAAAGCAATGGAAATTACAATTAAGAAGGAATGTCAAAAAAAAGAATAAGGATGAACACTAAACAATAACAGCTGCTTTCCATTAAAATACAAATATATGTATATGGCCATTTAAAATGTGAAACAGTTAAGTCACACTGAATTTTTAGAAAGGAATCTGAGGAAAAGTTTAAGAATTTATGCAGAGCTCATCAATGATTCCAGGTAATATTTTTGATTTCTGGACCTTATGATCCATCTGAGCAAGATCTTTTATAAAAAGTTAACCCGAAGTCAACGTATCAGTATTATAGGCTAGGTCTGTTACTCAAGTGATTAAAACAAGTAGATAAGGATGAAAAGCATTGTGTGTCTGAAAAGCAGTCTGTTTTCTCCAAAAAAATCAGTTTGTCTAATAAAAGATACTATGCCTTCCTAACATCTTGCTCCCCAAGAACATAATTGGAAACAAAACAGCAAGTTTATTTTGTATAGCCTTTATTTTTGAGTTCCTTAGAAAAACAAATGTGCTTTAACACTCCTTCTTCCAAAAGTAATATAAGAGAAGAGAGGAAGAATATCCTATAACACAATACATGTACTGAAGTCTACAAACAAGGCAACCCCGTGTTATCCTAGTTCTTCTAAAGTATGGATTAAAATCTTCTACACAGTGTATCTGGTTACACAGTTATATCACTCAATCACAGGAAACTTTATCTTCCAGCAACTGTAATTACTAAGTAACTTAACACATACTAAATATGAGACAAGCAGCATTTAAAACAGACTGAAGGCAGACAAACAGCAAAGGCGTTAACATACACTTCATAGAAAATCAAGACCTTTAAAAGACCACAAAAGACGCCAGAGAGACATTGTTCCTACTTGGTTCCATTAGTTTTTGCAATCTGTGAACATGTTAAAAATCAAATACACATTAAGGAGGCAGTGTCATCCATTACACTAAAGAATTCAATAGTCTGCTAGCTGCCAATAACTTGGTTTAGGCTCCAAAGACATATGCTAGTCCCTACCTTTAAGACACAGCAGGGTTGGTGAGACATCGAAAGACTCCCTTGTATTTTTTCCCCCAATTTTAAATATATATTTGTGTTGTAATGCATAGTACTCCCCATAATCACGTGCTGAAACTATTTTAGCAAGTAACTCAGTTACACTCAGTTTTGTTATTACCACTTTACATGCACGTGTGAAGTGCATGCTATAGGATTATCACCATTTTACATGCACGTGTGAAGTGCATGCTATAGGGCAGTACATGCATGATGTTTTCCAATGAGCTCTCTCAGTCTGCATTTGGTGACAACACCTGAGCTCATTTTCCTCAGCTGATTTGTTCTTGATTCAATTATTTTCTTCACATTTCTTCCCTGTAACATGAATCTTACCTCAGGCCAAATTGGTGAGCAAGCTTTCTTTTAAAGTTTACCCCAATTCCATTGCAGAGATCAGTGGAAAGGAGTATGGTAAGATCAGTGCAGCAAGTCCCGTCTTGCCACACACGTGATGCTGGAGTACCTACACTGGATTTATACGCGTGCTGCGGATTCTGCATGCCACCAGTAATCCCACTATTGCAATAAGCATTTTAGAATGTTAAGCACCATCACAGCTTTCTACTGAAAAGCCAGAAATGCAGAAACATCTGGGGATTTTATGTTTAGTCACGACCTTAAGGACACAGAAGGAATGAGTACGATAGAACTGATTCTACTCACTTTTTTATGACTCTTCAGGACTGAGGGTGTCACAAAAGCTTTGTCACAGAGATCACATTTGTATTTCTTATGTCCATCGTGTACAACTTGAATATGAACATTTAATGTGTCCTTTCTTTTGAAAGTAGCATCACAGTGATCACACTTGAAGGTCCTCTCACCTTACAAAGAGAAAAAACAAGGTTTAAAAATACCAGATTTTTGTGGAAATACAGGTAAAAATGTCACTGGGAAATTAAGAAATTAGTCATGACAACAACATAGCTAGAAATGCGAGATTAAAAACAAAGGTAAAATGGCAACCAGTAGCAATGTCTTCCAGTGAAATGGAGCACAGGTTTCATCAGCACCTCCAGTAACAGACTCCCTTTATAGTAGCAAGGAAAAAGATTACATAGGCTTCACCTTTTGAAACCTAAATGGTAAGAGACATCTTCCTCAGTTTAAAAGACTTCTCAAAACAAGAAATACTTGCTTTGAGTAACCTATCTTATTCACATCAATAGAGGCAAACTCATATGACAAAGACTAAATAACTTGTAAGTGTTATAGCAGTATTACTACTAAAACTGTAGTGATGATGTTGAAGATTATGGCAGAGGCCAGGTTAATACTGCTAATAGTTTTAAAATTCAATTAATTACCTAAGAAAGGGGAAGAGACATTGCATTCTGAAAATCTGCATATATCTTTCGAAAGGAAAAAAAGACATGATTCTTCAGGGAAATCATTATAATGAACCTTCTCTTTATCACTACTGTGAATGCAGAAGAGAATATTCTCTTCCATTTGTTAACTTCTTGATTAAAATTGCAAGTTAAACATCTACAGCACGGCATTCATTCAGAAATCTGCAGTCTAAACTGGAAATCAGGTGCCCATATCCCAAAAAATCTTTCCAAGCAATTACATCACAAAGAAAGATCACCATAATCTAAAGACTATGCTCCACTTGCTGTTTTTCAGGACACAGAGCTGATCTGCACCCTCCTGATCCATACGAATAAGACACAGACTTGCATAAGCACAAGCTACTTTCTTCAGTAGCAATGATACACACGTAGAGCTACGCTTATTTCCGTGCTATAGCTCGTTAAAGGATGAAGTCATCCTAGCCTTGGTTGCGGTACAAAGGCCAATAGGAATGGAAATTTATTTCACTATGCTGTATATTAAAGCCCATTTGATGTTACATGTTGAAGCACCAAAACAATTTTTTCTTTATTATATATTATACATGTGATACATATAAGTGAAGCTTATCAATACAGTGGTGCCCCAAGTACCCACAGACATTCCAAAGCCTAGATAACCTGTTTCTCCCCCCCATAAATCAACCATAACTGCACCCCTCCACAAACCTTTCATTCTCTGTTATTTTGGAAACAAAAGTGGGTTTGTCTTGGATGACACGAGAAGAATATGCTAAATGGTATTAGAATTAAGTTGTCTTATCCAAAAATACTTTCAGTGTAGATATTCGGAAAAATTTTCAAGGTCAATGGGGTTGCAATTTAATATGATGTTGTGTAGAGGTTTAACACTGATACTGCTTCTAACTGTTCAGTGAATCATTTCAGTCCTCATCTTGGGAACATGAGACTACCCTACTAACAAAGTGAAGTCATTACTACTGTTATTGAAGTAACATGCAATTTTCTACTGCTTCAAAGGAAAAATATTCAAGTAATTTCTTTTAAAAGTTAATTCTTATAAGAACTCCTAGGCTTCATGGAATTTTTTTTTAGTAATCATTTTTTTTTCTTCCCGTCACTTAACAACTTAGCTCCAAGTCTGAAAATAAACTGAAGAAAATGAAGCAATACCAGACACAATTTGATGAAATTGCCATGTCTTCTGAATCAGAAATATTTGTATGATTTCCATAAATTTACATGATATCATTATGGTTTAAGGCATGATTTGACATTTGTTGAATTTCAGAAGGATTTGTCCTTTTTATCATGAAAGTTTTGTTTGCAATCACTTCTGTCATTTTCAGTACTGTCTTATATTATGGTTTGAGAAGACAAAATTACTTTCAAACCACAACAAAAAATAATAAGGCAGTAAAAGATCAACCAGTTTTCAAATAAAAAACCTCCAATTTGGGGAAATTTCAGAACTAACATACTGTTCAACCACACCTCTTCTGTGTGTACACATGCAATGCCAAGTATGTATTTAGCCAAGTCCTGGCTTCAGTTTAACAATATTTTTCAACATGCAAAGTAGTGGGAAGCCTAGAACTGGGTATTTTTTCAAATGTTATCCTGGATGAAGGCAAACAATCGGCATTTCTCCTCAGCTTCCTTACTTAGCAGAAACCCTATATCTTATTACAGAAAAGCCATCAGAACACTGCCTCCTCTCACAGTTGGCTCACTAAATGGTCCTTATGTCTTGTCTAGTTGCGTTTTTTTTTAAGCCATAGACAAAATGGCATGAAAACTTAATAAAAACCAATACCATTAACGCACAACTATGGAAGGAGTTTCAGAAGGTTCCTCAATGGCATAAAGCAAAAGTCTAAATCACTTGCAACAAGACGCAAGTACTGAAACTCCTTGAGCAGCTCTAGAAATCCTCTTGTAGAAGACTGCAGAAAAAAAAAAAGCTACACAACCTATTTCATGATAAAGAAATATATTTCATATCATTGTTGTGATAAAGAACAAACAGATTTCATACAGTAAATGTAAAAAAATGCCTGTTGCTTAAGAACTATCACTACTGAAAAACAAACTCTTTCCGCTGCCTTTGGCAGATAAGCATAGTATTAAAGTTCTTATACTTCTAATAATAATATAGATATTTATCTATAAAAAATTTCTAATATTAACATATAAGAAATAAAGAATTTCCATTATATATTTTCAGTCAGCAGGTTTGCACTGTGCTAGATCAAGAGGTTTGTTACAAAATAAAATAGCAAAAGATACACACAGATTCTCTTCAGGCCTAGGCACTCTAGACAAATGGAAGTAAACAAGAAAATGTATCAATGACTGCAGGTCTTGAAACCCCTGAAGACGGGAAACTTTTTCAGAGTACTTGACATGAAACTACAATATCAATATCCGTAAATGCCTCCAAAGAAGGAAACAGAGCAATGACATAATATATCCTACAGTGCTTGCTGCCAGAAATACACAACATAACACGTCTTTCCTGGGACTGGCTTTATCTACTCCACTGGTGCACTCTCTTTATGATAAAAAAGTTAATGAAATTCAAGTCTACTTTGCTTTACTTGGAATAAGCAACCTTCAGTGCCCACTTCCGCTGACCGCTGTAGAAGAAGCTAACTAATGTTTCTCTTACTAGCAAACATTCTGTGTGCAGATTTTTACTCTGGAAAGCAAATATAAAAAAAGGACCATGTCCTTCTCAACACATGCAAACCCGCTTGTGCATGTCTCCACAATCCTAGATAACAGAATGATCCAAGCTAAAACGCTCAGGGTTACTCATCCTTGTTAGCCAGGTCTCTTACAGTCTCATGAGCTAGTATTAGCCAAGCATGAGCTACCATACACCTATTGTTTATCGTATGTAGAACCTAGGAGAAATAAAAAACAGTTTGGATTTTTTTAATTATTTGTTAAACATATTTGATCTTGAATTTTGAAAGTTATATACATGATGCCTTTTCCAATTTCAAGACAGGAACACCTGGTAAGTGAGTTTATGAAATACATTTCTCCCAGTAAATTAAGTTTGTAAAATAAAATTTAAGGCGTTCTACATCATTCTCAGTGTCTGCTTCTAAAACAAAGGGATACTGAACTTAAAAAGATAGATAATGTAGGCTGAACTTCAATTATTCCTAGAAGTTTCAAGCTTCACAAAATTTTTTCTTTCCTACAGTACAGAACAGTAAAGCCAGCTAAATACACCCAGAGATTCTGGATTGTTTCTCTCCTTTCTTTATAGAACAGGTATATTTCAGGACTATGAGAGGGACTATCATCCAGCTGTAGCAGGATAATACCTACAATCCTGTGTTATTTCAGATATGAGAAACTCATTATCATGGCAGCACAATCTGTCAGTCTCAGGGTTAGGTCATGAGGGGAAGAGTTCTACATTTCTTCCCTGGGAACACAAGCTCTGCTCAGACAACAGCAGAGCCCCTTTTTTTAATCACAGCCTTGAAATGAAAACTGTTTATTCTTCAGTTCATCCTAGTAATGACTTTCACTTTGCTATTGGTCTGTCAACACTTCTTTTACAGGACTCTACAGACAGGAGCTTTGGTTATATTCTGCTGTATTACGGCCTCCTTGTTAAGTTAGTCAGCTGTTGGGTTGTTTTTTTTCAAAATTAAGCATTAAAAGGTTTAAAAGTCTTCCCTATGATTAATAAGAACATCAAATATTATTGGTTTAAGACTTTGACTCATTTTTGGAGACAGTTTTAGCTAAGCTGGCAGAAGTTACCACCTTCAAGTACCTACTCTGTCGTTTAGCAAGACATGCCTCCTTTTGCACCAAGGAAGACTGACTAGAAAATGTCTGTGCCATTGCAGTTCACAGTCTGATATATTTAGTATTTGCTTAAATAGTGGTGGTTCAGGAACAGCTAAACCTGCCACAGATCACAAACCTAGCTCAAAGATCTCAAATTTCCTGAGGTCCCATTCTCTTAAAAAAAAAAAAGTCAAAGTATGTGTTTTTAGAGAGACCTTTACCAAGGCCTACAATTCTGCATACTGTGAATTACTGCTTTTGGATATTTTGCAAATGCTTGGTTCATTAGAATACACATTACTGAAAAGGTTTTTAACTCCCCACCCCCCCCATCATTTTTAACATTTAACATTGGAAAAATATTTTACAAAATTCAATGATTTATGAAATTGCAGAAACTTTGAAAGATAACTGTAAAAGAACAAACTAAACATGCCAGTCTAATAATTCATCTAATAGAAACACTGTTATACAGAATTAAAAAAAAAGAAAGGTTTGTGGTTTTCTTAATTGTATCAACATAAATATTACCCAAATCAAAGTACTAGCTTCTAAGCCACAAGGATTTTAAGATCATGAATATTTTCTAAAATATAAGTTGCTGACATTCACAGCATTGCATGCTTGTCTAGGGCTCTGTAAATATTAAAGATGGAGAAAATTCCACCAAAATTAAATCTCTACAGTCAGTTAAAAAACAGTACAGAATGCCAAGAACAAGTTACTCATGAGGAAAAATGGCCACAGCATTTCTCTGGGCTGCTAGTTCTATACCAGAGGCAGGAAACATTAGCTTGGGCTGGCACAGGAGACAGAATCTCCATTTCAAGCTCTAAACCTGATTACCTACAAAAGCTGAGTAAGCCACCAAGTCATCTCTGCTTCCATTTCTCCATTCTTAAAATAGAGGTAACACTATCATACTTAATTCAGAAATAAATCTCATGTCATCAGACCTCAAAGCATTGCTAGATTTTCTACAACATATTTGGATTTGTATTTAAATGCATTTAAAGACAAGGTTTAAATTTGGCTCTGAATTTCCTAGCTCCCTGGGGTTCGAGTTGAATCTTAATACTAATTTAATATAGCAAGTTGCATATTGGAGCAAGTTGCCATATGTCTGTTTTTCTCAGTCAAATGTGAGAACTGAGGAAGTTCTTCCTCTCTGACTTAGCACTTACTGTTATGGATTAACAGATGTCTTTGTAGAGAGAATGGGGTTCGGAACAAAGCTTTGCACTCCTCACACTGGAATGGTCTCTCTTCAGAATGGGTCTGCAGATGAAAGACAACATATCAGAAGAAAGGCTCAGGAAAATCAGTTAGCTGGCATTACAATAATTATAGCTAATTTTCTAGACTGGATTCAGGAGGGGATATCATAGCAATTTGAAACATCAGGGGATGAAGAATTAAAACAATCATTCTGCCATTATCCAAAATCCTGTAAGTCAGCATAGCAGCTACCAAATAAACGTACATTCCCAGTCCTCAGAAGTGTTACACGAGATGTGCATGTAAACAGAAACAAAATATAGAGTAACCAGGAACAAAACCTACAAGCTCAGTTGCATTGCTTCATCAGTACTAACACTGGCCTTAAGTATTTACTAATATGAATAAATGCTTTAAAATTAAACCCAGGTACACAAAACCCTTTTTCTCAGTTAAGTTTGAAGGTAAAACTGATCTGATTATCTCAAGATAGTATCTAAAATTTGGCAAAGAAGAGTTCTCAAATCATGAGACTAGTCTTAGCTGTCCTTGTTTCAGCTTCTTGTATTAAAAATAAAAAAAAAAAAAAACCAAACCCAAAACACACATAGAAGCATCAGTATCAAGATTTTTGTTTGCTGTACAAAAATTCGTCATAGCTGAGTGACATCCTCAAAGCCATAAATAAAATAAAAGGCTAAGCTTAGATGAATCTCTCAAACTGCAGAGCTGCTGAAGCAGATTCCTTTTCTGGAGCTTGGGAAACATCCAGCTTCATTCTGCTTTTGTAAATTTCAAAGCACTTCCCCTGTTTCCTAGGGTTATTAAGTGCTGTCCCACTGGAGATACTAAATTAATCCATACAATTTACTATCAACCAATTTCCTACTATTTTTGCAAAGGAAAGCAAGTTTTTAAAGCATCAGTGTCTAAACATTATATTAGCTCACAATGACCTTAAGTAGAAGCTGCAGTGCTTCTGAGGAAAAGGGGATGGATAGTAAGTGTTTTATAATATGCACAAAATTAGGTAAAAGAGCTAATTTTGTTGACTAAGGGTAAATATAAGCATAGCACATACTTATATAAACTATTTGTGCTATTCAGAACACCATACCACATTTACAGCTATCCCTTAAACTATGGAGAAAGAGGAGACTGTGGGGAGTCAGCATAATTATTTAGATGTAGACTGAGGGCCTTGAACCTAGGCTGGTTTTAACACAGATGTCCTCTTACATGCGCAACAGAACCAAAACATTAGAGCACTTGCGACAGTGCACAGAGGCTTTGGGTTCACAGTCAACTCCTTGACCTCAGCCTATGCCACTTAAAGCAAAAAATGGCAACTGGAGCACCATCAAATGTGTGGAATATATCACACGTTACCTAAAACCTGCTGAATGTTTCAGTCCAGCTTCTGCAGGTTTACATCACAGTTTGCATTAGTTGACACCCTGCTTGGCAGTCTCAGCAATCAGGCCAAGGATTGACAGGACATGAAGAGACTGAACTACCTTCTCACCTCACTAGGTGGTTCCTCCAGAACAGGGTTGAGACACATTGACGAGACACTGTGGGGAAGCTCGCAGTGCTGCTGTCTGTGCTGTACCTGTTCTGTGGATAAATAGAAGGGTTCAGTCTCTAGGGCTGTCAATCTGGCACTTTTCACGAGCGCAAAATTTATGTTGTTTATTTTAAAAAACGCCCTGTTTCAGAACACCCACCACTTGAGTGATAGTTCTGAAGAGTACAGTGATTTCTAGAGAATTCCTTCTTAGCATTTCCTTGATAGTTCTCCTAGTCTTTTTATCAAAATACAAGTGTTCATCTGCACATCTTAAATTCACTACAAAGAAAAACACTTAACTAGGCATACCCACACACAAGGGTACACAGATCATCTGCCTCTCTTGTGTATGGTCCAGAAACAAGCTAGGTCTATTATAAAAAGCCATGCAAATCTTAATGAGGAGAGGTACCCCCCCCAAACAAGCATATTAGTTCCAACACTGTCCTGTTTTGTCCAACTAATAGGTTCCAGATCAGAGATGGCTTCCATCCAGTCAGAACAGGGGACAGCCATATGATCAAATTAACTGAGGATGGGCTCTTACGAAATGTTTCATGGCAGCCTTTCCTACCAGAGCATTTGTGGAGGCTTAAACCCAACCCAAGGCCACTTATTCCCAATAGAGAAACTGGGGGAATACAGTTGTTTCAATCCATTAGGCTACCCAGGACCAAACAACTCTGGATTAACCATAAACCCTTTAAAATCCTGTGTCTGCTGACCTATTTCTGCTCACCATCATATCCTCATATTTTATTCTCTGAACTCATCCTCTATAAATAGCAAAAAAAGGAGCAGATGGAACAAAAACTTCGCTTTCTCCTGTATGGAAGTAATCTGCATAGCACAGAACACGCACCTTCATCCAATCTAACCTGGATAAAAGGTGACTACTTTTGTCTGTAGCACAATGCAATACTACATTTGCCTCTTAATTTCAGACACTATTTTCTTCCACTGTCACAAAAATGGAACCATATTCTTATGATCACTTAACCTGAGCTTTTTCAAAAGACATCTGAGCTAGTTCCACATCACATAACACTTCCCAGTGCTGATCTCCCCAAAGAAAATGACAAAGCAAGCTTGAGCGTGCACCTACCCAGAGCAGTGTATGCAGAAGCAGCACATCAGAGGTTGTCTACGTTTAGCCGGTACCTGGGGCTAAACAACAACAGTTGCTCTGTCACCCAACAACCCCTCACCAGCCAGGGAGGGGAATAGGGAAAAGGAGGGCAGACCATAGGTTGAAATGAGAACAGATTTTAATTAGATAACACCAATACCAACAGAGATAGACAGTTATACTCAGCCAAATGAATATCCAGTCATCACAATCAACCAGTGACCAGTCCTCAGAAGCAGGAAGAAGCCAGAGGAGGAGCAGGAGGAACCCAGCAGGACACCAGCCAGAATCCCAGCAGCAACCCCACAGCAGCTCTCTCTCCTCAGCAAACCTTCCCCCTTTATAACAACCACGACATCACGGTACGGGCTACACCTGCAGCCAACTCAGGTCAGCTGCCCTGGCTGACTCCAAACTGCTCACGGCCTGCCTGGCATGGCTGGGCTGTGGTTCTGTTCCAGACAAACCAGGACAGAGGTACCACAGGAAGACTAACAGTTCCTGCCTCTCAGATCTTTAGCTATAAGGGCGTAATGAGCGCTAAAATTAGGGTTCACGTCGCAGTGTTCCACTGAACAGAGCAGACAGTCTCAGCAACTCCACTGTCTATCTCCTAGCGAAATTCTGTGCAATGCACCTTTGAAACGACCCAACATTCACCCACATGAAAGCACATGCTGTGGGAGCTGTTTTTATTCTGATACTTCTAACACAAAATCAGATTAGATAACCCCCATAAAGGAATCACAGAAACAACAGCAACAGCAAGTTTCCATCTAAAACACAAAACAAGAATTCAAAAGCACAAGATGTGTATGTGTCCTGTTTCTTATTATAAAAAAAAAGTATGTAGCTCTGCTGTAAAACCCAAAGAGTTTTTCAAGCATGTTGCTATCAAACTTGAAAGCATGTTTTCCGTTAAATGTTGTTGATTTAAGTGTTTTTAACTACTATACCCATCATTCTTACCGCAGGTTTCTAAGCTCCCTGCTACTAGCAGGAACACACACCTCAAGAATCATTAAAAACCCAAGCTGAAGAAATACATAGAAGTATGGTACACAATAAAGGTTTAAATTTCCACTGTTACTGGATTGACGCTCCTATGAACAAGCGAAAGAACCATTGTCCTCTTCCCCTCATAGCAGAGCAGTCCTCCCAAAATCATGGCACTTAAAAATATTTTGGCACCCCAAACTACCCATCCTTGACTTACACCTTATGATTGGTTTTGTATATATACATCCATACTCCCATTATCTACTACCTTGCCTCGTTTATATTGTTTACTCAATGGAGAGAGGCGTATCTAAAAAAGCAATTCAGGATTTGTGTCAGTCTCCTGTCTGTCATGCTCATCTCTGCATTTAGCAAGTGAAATTAGAGACCTAAATGTGGATGGGTGAATATTCACAGCTGTTTGGGTAAACTTCACGTAAACATAAGAATAAGTTTCTTTCATTATAGGACCAGGCTGATTTACAGCCAGTACTATGTGCAAACAGTTCCAGGAAATAAGTATTCCAACATGCTTTAAGGAATTCTGTCAAAATTAGGTACTCACTAAATCTGTCTGAATTTAATATTTTTCCCATTATGTGGAGCCTCTAATCCTTGTTTATGCTAGTGGTGCTGCTGCTTTAAACACAGAACTGGGTCAAAGTGTTTACTCATTCATACTTAATCCTGAAGTCCGTTTTCAGCCCAAACTCCCTACCAGTCATCAACTGCAAATTAACCTAAGGAAACATGTAAAAAGTATTCATTTAAGATACAGAAGTATCTTTCCAGGTAGTATTTTACACATTTTCCTTAGAATATATCCAATTTGTGAGATTCTGCCCCATTTTCTTAATGGAGTCTAAAACACAAGATACAATAACAGCATATATGGGAGCTAATCTTGTCCTTCAGCAGGCTTCTGCATGCTTTCTGGTTTAGGCAGTCATCACCATTTCATCCTGCGAGAGGCATTATTACTACTCTTACATGATTTATGGCTGCAAGTGCAAGAGATGGTGCAAAGATCCTGTGCCAAATTCCCAGATGGCATATAACATGAGCCAAACTGCGAAAGGCTTCTAAGTATGGGTGTATCAGTTTCATCAAAAGGGGGAAAGAAAGGGGTAGTATTTAAAAAATGTGAAGAAAAAAATAAAAAAAAGAGCAAAGGGTTCCAAATACCGGGCACAAAACCAGACAGGTAATTTTTTTTGCTTTCTTTCTTACAGTCTTGTAATGCTGAAACAGCAGTGATGGATATAGCCTTGCCATTAAAAATGTAACCCCAGGTTAAAAATAATGACAGGCATTATAGAAATTAGGCCAAGCAGATTTGAGCTTAAATCAACAGAAGTGGAGCATCCCTTCATGAGCCTATTTTTCAGGTAACATTTCTTCTGATGTTGTTTTAATGTGTGGACACTACCCAGTGCAAATCCAGTATAGTTTGAAAGCATCTGCTGCTAAGTCCAACCATGACTGCAACAGTGCTACACTTAGTTTTATTCCAATACAGTGGTTTTTAAAAAACAAAATAATTTGAAGACATTTTAAATCAGTTACATTTTTAACTTGATAACCTAATATTAAAAACCAAAAAACCAACAAAAAAACAGAAACAGAAAAGTCAAAATGGGGATTTATTTGATGCTTTGCACCAAGCATCTGTGATTTCCTTCTGCTTATTTCACTTTTTTTTTTCACTAGGATTCTTTTAGTATTTTGAGATTTTTGGATATAACAAAGAACACTAAGAAAACACATTCTCCAATGCTTTAATCCCATGTTTATAAGCATGCCAGAGCTTAATGATGAACCACTTAAAAGAAAAAAAAAAAAAAAAAATCTGCAAATCTGAGGCTGGCAGACCTGTAAACAACAACAGCAGAGTGCTTTACCTTCTTGTGATTCTTGTAAACATTTCTGTGAGCAAATCCCTTTCCACAAAGCTTGCATTTATAAGGTTTATCTTCACTGTGTATTATTTTGTGTGCAGTCACTTGATCAAGTCGTTTGAAGGACTTATTGCAAACCTCGCAGGTGTAGGGGCGTTTTTCTGCAGAAAATGAGTGGGGGACATTTAATCTCCTGTTTATACAGGGGGAGAAGATGAAAGGCAGAGACAGTCATCTCCTCAGAGAGATTTTTGCAATTAAGTCAACCCAATTAAGATTAAACCAATTAGAAAGACATCTAATGCCCTTTATGTTAGACAGTTAAGTCACTTCACAAAAGATGAGCCATGGTGTATCTCAAGAAATTGGCACATTCTTTGCAATAATCATTGCTAAAACTAAATTCTGATTAATTAGCTTAAATCAAAAGAGAATGACTTCAAAGAGGAAAACTCTGTTTCCAGATTACAAATGTGAAAGAGGGCATGACAGTTTAAATGTTTTAAAACTTAATTAACAATATACATATTAGCTTCCAAAACCAAAAGTTCCTATGCAAAAAGCCTTTATGCTTCAACTGGTGACTGCAACTTAACTACATTAATGCTCATCCAAAAGTGCCAAAAGAAAGGAGCCTCTGAGATATAGATTATGTTACAAGGAATGAGCTTTTAGTGCGGACTGATACCAAGAAAATAGTTCAATTATAAGCCTGTGCAGCTGTAAAAACCTGCATTTTTTAAATGCTAATGTATCTGACGGAACAATGTTTGTGTTTCCATTGTGTTGGATGATGTTTCTAATCACTGGCGAAAGACACAAAAATGCTAGATTGCAGTGATCAGAAATCCTGGCAGAGTCAATTTGTGTTGTACAGCCAAACCTACAGACCAGCCACTCCCCGCTCACAGTGTCCTGGCAGAGGACAGGCACAATAAAATATTTGTCTGTGGTCTATGAAATGGTGTGGAGCATGAGCTTTCCTCTGACTGGAAACTATGTGCACCTGAGTCCACTAATGTGTGTGTGTGTGTATGTGTGTGTGTGTGTATATATATATATATATATATATGAATGAATGTTTCCCTTTTTATCACAGATCTCTGTCTGACAGCATACCCACCCTCTTCAACATGAAATTTCAACCACTGGTTCTTCACCTCCTCTATAAGCCAAGTAACAATCTTTCGCCCCATCCCAGCTAACTGACATCATCGACCCCAGCTAGCATGAAAAAATAAGTTGAAGAAGCAGCAACAGGAAAAAAGACCACAGCATTACACTTGGATTTCTGAAAGTCTTAGAAAGGATAGCTTAGATGGTTTCCTTGGAACCTGATGTTTGACTGAACAGCTCAGGACAACACAAAATTCATCAAGCCTTCTATAAAAAACTAATTCAGGTAAAATTCAATATACATTAAATACATATACATATATATATAGTTTGTGTTATTTTTTGTACATTACCTGAATGAGTTATCATATGGCGTTTTAGCTGGTTAGCCGAAATAAATTTCTTGTCACATTCCTGACACTCAAAGATCTCATGGACCTGCAAAATGAGTGTTTAATGATAATTAAATACGTGTCTCAAACAAGATCACACATCTTACATTTACAGAAAATCTCTAACAGACCGTAACTATTTCTTATCCAGTAGCTATATAAATAGTCATGGATATTCTGTTATTTCCTCCTTGCTATTCCCTTGGTGAACAACAGTATCTCTCAAAAAATAAATATTCATAATTGCAAACAAAAAATTGTCACTGAAACTGTATTTACAAGCACGGGTTATGCAAATTTGTAATGTCAGATCCATTTAAAATACCATTATTATGAAAGCATTAAAAGAACCAGATCCAGAATACCTTTGCAGAACATTTCCTTCTAGTCAGTAAGACATAAGTAAAAATAAGGTGGTAACTACTTCATAACTGCTGTAAGAATTTTAAAAAACCCAAGGACTATCAAACTCTTTCAGGATTGTTTCTCTTAAAAGCTGTTAGAGTCAAGAGAGTGGAGGGGCAGCAGTGTCTCAAACTGTAAATGCAGTATGCATTATCAGGATTTTCAACAGCACAGCATAAAACTTCATCAAGGACTAAATGTTGGAAAAATAGAAGAGGCAGTTGAGAGCTGAAACTTCTGATACTCAATTTTAAAAAAAAAAATCCTGTGTTACTGTTACCCAAAATCACAACATATACATAATTCTCCACCTGTCAAGTCTACCATTCACCTGCACTCTATTACATTTGCCATCAGCAGCCTCACCTCAACTTAGTTACAGTGCAACTGAACACACATTTCAGCTTTTTTGGAACTGCAGCCTTAGACAGCAAAACTTTGGGCAGAGATCACATTTCATAAGGCCTTTTTTGAGAACTCTATAGACTTTCCATAGGAGAATCTAGCAGCTAAAAACAACAAATATCAAAGGTTCAACATAACAGTCTAATGAAAAACATTTGCAGACAGCACAGTAAAAAAGCTCAACTAAGACTTCCATTTAAAATAAACAAACAAATAAAAACTCAAAGAGATTCTCCATAAGTATTCTGCCGCACCATGGTTTTATGCTGCTATTCACAAACAAACTTTAGAGCAAATTAAATGTTCTAATAAACTACAAAGTGATCATGCCATTTCCTACGATCTCTGCAAACTTGCACACTTTGGACAGTGATGCTTAACAAAAGGCTCAGACAGAATCAGGTGGTAAGCTCAAATGAAGATCATTCATTCTAAATATTCTGTTCTCCCAGCTGCATTTTAGATTAATTTATCTTATATGTACACACAATCTACTACTCTACCCTTTCCCAAAACACCTGAATATTTATTTAGATTGTTGACTGCAGTTTACATAATTCTGCAACCAAGTGCTATCAGAAACTCCCTCAACACAATTATTTGAGATAACTTGTAAGGCATTCTTAAACATAATATTTAATATATCAGAACCCAGATTGTGCTTTAACACTACGCAAAAGTGTGATTCCAACTTATAAGCATTGTTTAATAAACAGTCTCATTGAATACATTTGCATCAAAACAGAGACTTCTGTGCATGTGCATTAAAAAGCTACAGCTATTAAATACACATTCTATAGCGGATACTCTTTAATTCTTTAGAAGAGAATCAGACACAGACTTGTGTGCACGTGCACTAAATAGCTATAGCTATCAAGCATATATTCTATAAGCTGGCACTCTAATCAGTTCTTTAGAAAAGTGCAGTTACATGGTAAAACAACAGTAACAAAAGATAGCAAGTATTTTTATGAATAATGATGTTCAAACAGATTTTAAGAAAACTTGTCAAATAACATGCTCTGTGCGTATAGAGGCTGTAATACCACATATGAGTGCTCATGCAACGATTTATTTGTATAACAAAATTAGTCTCATTAGGGGGCTGCAACAGCTATCTACATAAACTTCTGCTACATTAAAGTCAGAGCACACTTACGATTGTTTTCTAGGCACTTGAAGAGCTATCCCTTCAGATAACAACTTGCGAAGTGCTATACAAAACAGCAAGCATCTGATTAATGTATGCACAGATAAATACACTCCTTCACTTACGGGACTGACAATCTTAAAATTTTCATGAGGTCTACTGAAAAGCAAAAGGTTGTTTGAAAGAGTTTTGGGGGTGAAACTGAGATAAAACTTTGAAGATAAAATAACCTATGATGAGCTTTTCCAAAAACTAATCTCAATTTCAATCTACCAGTCTGAGAACTGGATGAGACTCTGTCTGTTGGAAGGCAGTGATTTGAGAGAGTAAGTCTATGAGAATATCACATCCGATTGAAATTACTAAATTTTATTGAAAATTTTAAAGTGGTGTTCAAAATTTGGTGTCCTCTACCTTTCTATGGCTTTCATAGTGATTATGAAAAATAAAGATTGCACAGCAGAACAGAACACCCCCAATGTTGAATAAAAAGATTAGGGAAAAACCCAATGCAGAGACACTTGGAACTGACAGGTAAAAAAAGGCGGGAAGGTGGGACTGGGGCAGGGCGTGGGCACAGCAGGGAGCAGAAATCACAGATGATGTTTAAGAATGACTCTCCTCACCATAATTTTGCAGGAAGGCTGGCTCTACAACAAAGAGAGTTAGGAAAGAATTAAGGATTTTTCAGAAACAATATTACACTCACAAGGTCTTTGAACAAACGATGAGCAGGATTCTTCTCAGTTCTCCGTTTTCTCTCCAGCAGACTGTGCTACAGCATGCCACTTCATGGAATCTTACAGATCCATGCAAGAAATTGGCTAAGAAATTCAGAAGTGCAGCAGCACAAACTAGTCTTATCAGTGAAGCACAATCCTGCATTTCATACAGGTGTTTATTTTATGGCCTTTCCCAAAGTCAAAAAAGCTTTACTGCCTTACACTCAAAGGTGTCCTTAATCTTCTTTCTTAACAGGAGAATTAGGTACTTCACCATTGAAAACACCTGCCTACCACAAGAGTCAGAAACTCGCCCCACAGCTGTACAGCCAGAAAGAGACATACATCCCGCCCCAGTCTACCTACAAGTAATGAAAATGTAGCACTATCAATTCTGACTTCATCAGCCTGGGAAAAGAAACCAGCAATGCTGGGATCTGTTTTAATATTTCTTCCCTTTGCACTTACAGAACAGTAGAACCTCCACAGACAGGCCTGGCAGCCTGTGCTACTCACGTATATATACTCACTTTTAATTTTAAGTTCCTGTGAGCAATTCAGATCCAAAACATGAGACACCAGTATTCAAAGGTACAAAAGAAATCCTTTGGCAAGAATCTGCATGAATGAAGACAACATCTCCCTTGCTTGCTTGTTCACCATTATCACTGTTGAATGATTGAATTTTACATTTTACTTAAACTCCAGAACTTGGTAGCAGAATCTAGTTTAGACTGTGTGTCATTTGCTCTGCCAGTAGACATCACAAACCTGCAGAAAGGAGATTTTACAACAAACTTTTTCTTTCTTTTACCCAGTCTTCTGTAAGCTTCTGCACAGCATTTCCCGAGTTGTCTTGCTGGGAATTTATTTCTTTTAAACTACCATACCACTTAACAGCCCAAATCATGGGCTACAATAAAAATCAGATAGAAGGATGTCACTTAACAATTGGAGGATAAGACAAAAGACAAAAGAGAAAAGCTGGATATAGACAGAATGGAAAACAGATACTGCTCACCACAAAAAGCGGTAACATCAGCCAATCAACAGCATAACTGTTGTTAAAGTTTTGTGGGAATCATGCAGGAGAAGAGTTGTACTATGGTAAGTAGTTTTGGAAATCAAGTAAAAAATAAAAGATGTAGATAACACTGTTCTGAGTAGGACTGTAATGACTAAGGAAGACAAGATCAGAATCCAAAATTGTTTCCACACTCTGAACGAAGCTCCAAAACACTCAATATTTAGGAAGGAGAAATCAAATGCACAAATGCTACATGATGACCAACAGTTCACATAGCACCACTCGGAAAACATTAATGAAATCCAAACTATTGCTAACTGTTACAAAGAAGACAGTCATGAATTTTTCTTGGCATTTTCTCAGATAAGACAAAGAGCAATTAACTCAATTTGCAGTAAAGAAGGTTTAAGTAGGATATCAGAAGAAACAAAGGCTAGAAAAATGAACACATTCAAAAATGCTAATGGCACTAAAGCTGAAAATCAGAATACAAAGAGACACCTATGGAGGTGGCAGAATTTTCTTTAGCAGAAGTCTTCAGGAAATGCGATAGGGCATATCTAGGATGATTTAGGTACACCCTTACTCCCTCTGAAAGCCATGCCACCAAAAATTAGCATGATACAAGCAACAGTCTGGAAAACAAGAAGGTAAGACTAAGGGACCAAAGACAATGACAGCAAAGTTTAATTGTGCATGGCTAAGAAAGGGCTTAGGTTTAAACATTTAGGGCACAAGCAATCCGCAAAACACACAAAGATAAAAATGGGTTTAAATCAAGGGTGACATGAAAGCTACAGATCTGAATGACCACGTCTTGAAAGAATAAACAGATCTCTTAATCTCCCCTACAGCCACCCTCTAACTTGGTTCTCTGTGTTTGTCAGATTTCCCTCTTTCTGTTGTTTGGGCTTATAGTCTGTTATCTCCTATACTTTACCTTTCTACTCTCTACTTTTGTTTCTTTACACTAACTGGGTGGGGAAAAAAAATATCTCTTTTCCTCCATGTTTCACTTCTTTTATCTCCTATACTTTACCTTTCTATTCTCTACTTTTGTTTCTTTACACTAACTGAGTGGGGAAAAAAAAATATCTCTTTTCCTCCATGTTTCACCTATTTTCTTACTGGTTTTATTACCTGTCTAAATATTTTTAGCAATGTTGGTGACAGATCATGCTCCACTTCATACAAAATCAAAGTCATTCAAGCAAACAGAAGGCATGAGTCCTACATGCAATCTCCTTCTATCTGATGTAGATACGTGAATCTGGAATACCTATTTTCTGGATGTCTTAAAAGAGGAGCCAATCAGGAAAAGGAAATAAAGTTTTAAGCACAAAATCTTCATGGTGATTCTTAAAATAAGTAAGTGCTTAACGGACCTACCATCAATGCTGCTTGAAAAGCTTGTTAGTGTGTGTCATAGCGTCTGCACAGAGCTACAACTATTGAAACAAAACAACCATTTTAATAAAAGGGACACACTAACCATGATATTTTGCATTTTCCAGGGCCAACATAAGGTGCACTGATGTGTAAAAATTGTAATTACATGTGGCAAGGCATACCATGATTTGGTGTGAGGAGTAGCAAAGTATAGCCCTGTTAGACAAGAAATGCAGGGCTTATAAATACAAGCAAGGAGAAAAACAAATGAAAAAGGAGGGGCCCCACCATTTCCTTTCCAACAACATCTTTTAATTGATATAATCTATATTCTCAATGGATTCAGGTTATAACCAGGGCATTATTAAAGACTTACAGTTAATCTGATAAACAGTACAATGTAGCTTTTTGTAAAAACAGAATCTCCTGGGTTTTAGTGATTTATCAAATTAATCTTGCAGGGACTTCCTTTGGGTATAATGGATTCAGAATCTCATATTCATAGTCCATCTGTATTTCTATATGAACCCCGTATCTCCAATAGATGCTTTTCAAACTGTTAACCCGTCCTGCTCCGGTTATAAAAGATTACGTGCATAAACAGAAAGACACTAAAAATCTGGTTTTGAGGAAGAAATTTTTTTACTACTACATAACTAAATTACAGATAACACCCTTGCTGGTATGTCACAAAGTAATAAGAACTACTGGTGGTATTTTGCTCAAAAACTGAAGGCTCATGAACATATTTTACGGTCTGTGTGTATGCTACCATTACATATCATACTTTCACATTTAGTTTAGTGTTCAAAAATGCTGAAGAACAGCACACGAATTAATGTTGGAGTGTATAAATGATACAAGGACACGCATCTTTACATTTGGTAAAAGATGCATTAAAACTTTAGGAAGATTTTTAGTTTAACCAATTGTAATTACAAAAATAAATACCCACAATAAAGCACATTGGTTTTGTAACCATGAAAGAGATTACACAAAGATTTGCATTACAGCTGCTTTCAAGTGACCTGAGCACCAGTCTCACATCTTAGTGAAGTCAAAGCCTGCTGTGGGTTAGCCTTCATCTTACTGACCTTTCGGTGCTCTTGGAGATTTGTCGCTGAGGAACATTTCTTATTGCACACTGAACACATCAGCTTCTTCCTAGAATTTCCTGAAACAGAAACAAAATACCACCAACATCTTAAAAAGGAAGTGCTAAGAACGAACCTAAATATTTCCACTGAGTCTGTGACTTTTCACAGGTCACTTGACTGACATAAGATTTTTACATTTGTGTCCCATCTTCAAAGTGTTTCCTATCAAGAGTTCTCTGTGGGTGTCCAACAAACCAGTTATCGATGGAATGTAAATCAAGACAACTAGAACAATAAAGAAAAACCCCTTCAAATAGATGTTATCACACATCACCATTCCAATATGAAGAGGACAATTCACAACTAAAACCAACTTACTTCAGTTGATTCCTTCCGGAAGTCAATACAGGGAGTTAGTGCAGCAATGACAAAAAAGATCCCAAACTGAAGTCAAAACCACTACTTCCCATTTTTCTTTATACAGAAAGCATTAAGCATTCTACTATATAAAATATCATTATTTTAACTGAACAAGACAGGGAAATTGTATTAGCACCAGATCATGAATTCAAATTTCATCTAAAATGTAAATTAAAAACAAGCTACAGATGTATTTTCCTTCCCTTTTCACAGTTGCTTAAAAAGTGACAGAGCATTTAATTTGTTTATTTATTATTTACCTTTTAGTAACTCACAAAGCTATTTTAACACAAGATAAAGCCACCACAAACCTAATCCTTTGTTTATAATCCCATGCCCATGCAAGGTATTTCCTAGCTTATGTAAAAAATGTTCATATTACATTGAACACTAAAAAGAATGGACATAGAATGAAAGAGGGGAATACTGCACACAGGAAGTATGGATCATAAATGAACTCGTTAGATGGCTTCCAGCTCAATTTTTCAGACTCTTACCATCCTATATCTTTCCTGCTCTTGCTGACCTAAAGAATTCTTATGTTGACTTTTCTTACTACAGTGTACCCTGTCAATTGACTGGTTCAACACTTAAATTTGTAGTATAAAACAAGTACTTAATCTCACATATGCATTTGCTGTTATAAAATGTGATAAGTATTTATATATACTGATACACACATAAGTACAGGAATACACTTTGTATTTCAGCTTACAAGAACATTAATGAGACCTTTTCAGAGGAGGGAAGGGCGATAGTGGATATCTGTTCATAGCTTTGCATAACGAGTAACACACGTAACAATCCTTTCTACTTTCCCTTGCCTCCAGGTAACACAAGGCAGGAAGGAATTCTAGAAACGTCCCTCAACAGTAGTAGGCTATTTTCCTTCCTGCAGTGACACCAGTTGCAATTTCTATGACTCCCAAGTGGCAAAATAAAAGTTTTGCTCATTATGCAGGCAGAGCAAAAATATCCTCCGGGTGCCTGCTCTCAGTCATGTCTGGAGTAATCATTCAAGAGAATTGTGGAATTTGTATACCACTACATAACTCACCAAAGCTAAGTCTAAACATAACAATGCTCATGGATGAAAAAAATTCTTACTGTTCTGAGAAAAGGAGATAATCTTTTACGAGAATGGTTACGGAAGGGTTTCTGTACACTCTAAGAGTTTGGCAGAAGAAAGAGTTTTCATGTAATGGAAATCTTACAAAGCGTCTCAGTGCTGTCATCATCAACTAAAGACTGTTTTCTTTGCACTCTGGTATTCTGCTGTCCCCACTCACACTGATTTTCCATTGACATTGAGAGGGGACATGCAGAGAGAGCAGAATGCCAGAACTGAGATCAGCATTGTGAACCTGAGAGCAGTATTTTGCCCTTTCATGAAAACAGAGTGAAGTTTGATTGAAAACTATTGATTCACAGCGCAGAGATATAAAAACACTAGGGCCTAACAGGACCAGTGGATTGTCTGGTCTGGCTTCCTCCACAACAGAGGCTATAGAATTTTATGCAATACCCTCATCAAGCCTAATCGTTTGTGAAGCATGTCTTCCAGAAAGACATCCCATTGTGTCCTGAAAATACCAAAAGATCAAGAACTCACCACTTCCTGTAGCAGTTTGTGCCAGTGCTTGATTTTCCCCTCTACTGAAATGTTTTGCTTTATCTATTATTTGCCTAGTTTAAACTTCCCCAGATTCCTATCACATTTTCTGCAGTAGACTAATGATTCATCCGGTATACAGCAATTTCTCCCTGGGGGAGGAGGAATAGTTACTCTTGCAATTAGTTACTTCCCAATGTTCTTTTTGATACAAACGAATCCATTAAAAAAGAAATCAAAGACAATGATTTCTCTGATTTGCAAACTTAAGGCTAGGAATATACTAAACATTTTTTTTCCAAAGAAAGATGAAACTCTTTCTTACCACTGTGAACATTTTCTTTATGTTTTTTCAGGGCGTCCTTACTCTTGAACCTCTTCCCGCAGCTATCTGCCTTGCATATGAATCTGGCATCCCCTCTGCATGCCTCCTTGTGCTGTTCATAACTACATGGGATATCCAGTAAAAAAAAAAAAAAAAAAAAAAAAAGGCAACACATAAAGCGGTATCTACAGAAACCAGACACATAGCAAGTACTCTGAGCTTAATGCATGCTGCACTGCAGAGTTCCAAGGCCACCTCATGCATTACTTACAGCAAATAGGAATGAAAGCATTTGACTTCTTTCACTGTTAGGATTCACATAAACTAACAAGCTTGAAAGCTAACATGCAAAGGGAGGCCAGCAATGATATGACAGCAGTCCAGTAACTCAGACACAAAACCTCGATTCTGAGCTGAAGGAAGTATTGCAAACAGAGCACTGGAAACTTCTTGAAGAGTCCCCTGGGTTGATATTCTCTGTGCACTGAAGTACACTAAAGAAAAATGAAAAAAAAATTCAAGTAAGGCGAACATTGTACAACTTACACAGGCTTGCAGTAGCTAAAAAACATATATACAGCTCTACAAATCTTCAAGTAGGTGAGTAACTATTTCATATGTGAAGTCTCCTGGAAATCAGTGAGACTAATCAAATGCATCAACAGCAAGAGTCAGGATCTCTCACACTTACTTTGCATGATGTAAAAATTTACTTAACTAGCTCTACAGCCCAAATCCAACTTCCACTATAGACTAGAAGGAACAAGTTTAAGTTCAAGAGAAAATATTTAATTGCCTCCACCAAATATTTCTCTGCTATGTAATTTCATTTATTTCTGTGAAAGAACACAGAGTACTTATAGAGCTGCCAGTTCTAGGAATCTTCACAGTATTCAGATGTAAGATGAATTCATTACAAGAGCAGCCTTGAGTGAATTCTATGTAATATGAGTCTGTTTCTTTCCAGCATGAGAGAGTTAGATTAAATGTACTATCTATAATCACTTAAGCATCTAACACACTATCTGTAAATGTAAAATAAAAAGCAATGTATCTATTTAATTGCAACCAAAAATACATGAACAACAAAAGACAAAAACAGTTATGTTTTTGTACAAAAATATAATTGCAAGGCGTACAACTTTAGTGACAAAACTGCATATTTATGCTATCAAGAACAGTAAGGACATGCTCTTAAATCTCACGTCTTTCATGTTTTTATTTGGGGTATTTTCCTTCACCCAAATATTTAATTAAGCAAATGTGAAGTATTGTTGTTCCTTGTTTTGTCCCTCTAGATGACCATTTACTTTATTCTAAATCAGACTTTAGTTCTGTAATGGCATCCACAGCTTAAAAATTACATCTCCTAAACTACTAAGTAGTCCACTGATGGAGACTAACAGTTCTGCACCAAACAGCAGCTCTGATCTTGTCTACAGTGTATGACTTTAAAACATAAAAAATTAGTGACATTTTTGCAATTCAAAATGAAGTTTCCAGCAAATATAAGAAATTAACATATTAAAACACTAATGTAAAGGTTAAGGGTACAAATACATAAGCATAAAAATCAAAGCTTAAATTGTGATTAAGCCAGAAGAAATAAATGATCCCTGAAAAAAACACTCCTGTTTCTACTCACTGTCTTTGTAGAGCTTGTTTAACAGGGAATTTCTTTCCACAGTTTCGGCACTTAAATTCCTTTTCCTCACTGGGTTTTTGGTGCAAAGTCTGAAGATGTTCAGCTAGAATCTCCTGGCTGGCAAAACTGGATTCACAGTTTGGGCATGCATGGTCCTCTTTACAGGTGACAGGATCTTCATGATTGGAGGCAAAAACAGTAAAGCAATAGTTTTCAGGGAATATTTTGGTTACATTAAGAGAGAATCTCTGCCAGAAACAGATTATGCAAAATGGCATCACAAAATTCACAAAAAACATTGTCTCTGAGTGGATTATAGACAGCCTATCTTGAGTGGATTACCAACAGCATTATTAAAAATGGATGCAAAGTATTAAGCTGGGTGTGACTGAGGCTGTTAGCCTAAATTAGTCGTCCAGGTTGTCTCTACTTTGGTAAAGAAGCTGAGAATTCATCAGAGAGCTCAGGTCACCTGCCTTTTCCTTGACATCTTACCTTAGGATTGGCTGAACAGTTTTATGAAAAGGTTTATTTCTCTCCCATCTAAGTAAGAGGGAAACTACCCCTCTTAGTGCAAAAACTTACCTTTCACAAAGCTACACATGAGGTGAAATGAACTCTGTCTTTAGCTCAAAAGTTAATGGTAACTTCTCAAGAAATCTAGGCTCACTCGTTCAATTCACTCAGTATTTTACAGGACTGGCTGCTTCTTATTAGGCAAGGAAAAGAACCTCAACTTGAACCAAATTATAGATATAAAGACCATACAGGACCTCAGACTAAACCAGGGGAGCCTTCCTTATCTTATACAGTCAGTGTTCTCTTTCTCCTTGATTACTACTTTTAAGCTCTCAGGTTACACTATTTTTTACATATTACTCACCTGGAATTTTTTCACCAGCTGGTTGCACTTCTTTATTGTTGCCACTGTCTTCATCTTCCTGGATAACAGTTACTTCTTCTTCTTCCTCCTCCTCTTCTTCCATGTCACTATCCAAGTACCCAATCAGAAGTTCTGTGTCTGTTTCAATATCTTCCACAGCCAGATAGAAAATATTTTCTCCTTCCTGTTGCAAACAGTAAGTAGAAGCAATGAATAACTATGTCAGAAAAAGTAAAATCTAGAGACAAGTATGGGACCCTGAACTAATAGTAGCCCTCAGCTGTGGAATGGCTGGCTCCATTCCTCATGGAGCACAATGCTAGAACAGCGTTTCTGAGACTTCTTTCCTGGTGTAACTGCACGGATAAAGTGCCCTTGTATTCCGGAAATGTTCCCCTGCCTCACCTGTGAGGCTTTTCCAATATGCCCTGTAGACTAGACCAAGGTGAAGGTGGTGGTAAACTCCTCCTCTCCCACACTGCCTGACAAGAACTTCAGAGTTTGAAAATTAAACATTTGAGTATTAGAAAAACTGAAATAACTAATACAGCTTTAGCTCTGTCCCCTGTTGGCTGTATGAATTATAACCCAGCTTCCAGTAGCATGTTTACATAGTGCTATTTTGTCTCTCTCTCTTGTTCTCTCCTTAAGATTCCCAGCTTGCTTTGTGAACAGGCTTTCAACTCTGGTCAGTGATCTTCACTATCAAGTTAGCAGGCACGTCTGTAAAACGCACTTAAAACACTAGACCAAAACCCTCTGCTGGTTTAAATCAGTGTAAATACACAGATCCACAGAAGGCCAAAGATCCAGCTCAGATTCTGCAGGAGAGGACAAACTACACAATAGTAACCTCCAAAACCTTCTCCACAATGAATAAACAACCTTCCAAATAGATACATAAGCTAACAACTTTGCTCTTTGCCGATATTTAATTAAAGTTACCAAGGCTGGCATGGTGGGAGGGAGGTGGGGGAGAGAGGGGGGATCTGGATCACAAAACGAGCTGTCTCCTAAACAGATACACAGAGCTGCTGCCTTTTTTTTTTTTTTTTTTTTTTTGATCCTGTGTGACCAACTGCTTTAGGCACTACCCAGAGCACCAAAGGAGACACATTTTTACACAATGAAGACTTCCAAGTTCTCTCATAAATCTTAAAGCTTATCAGGTTAGCATCCAGAAAAGTTAATTGAAGCTTCTTTACACTACATCTAGCCATATATTTTGTAACAAGTTTCCTAGCACAAGGACAAGATAATGATTTTTAATTTTTGTAATATACTGGGATTAATTTAAACTGTCAACAGGGACGTGGTATTCATCGAGCTTTAGAAGGTCTGTTATATATTACACACAAGATATTGTCACACAAGAGTGAAACCTATTTAATTCAATAGACTCGATACAGCTGCTTTCAAGGACGCACCACTTTTCTGTCCTTATCTCAACAGCAGCATTTGAAAACAAAACAAATAATGCAATTTTTTTTTTTCAAGATATATTCTGCAGTCCAGATATCCATCAGCATGCCACCCTAACTTTTGCATACATCTAGAAATTGCTGTTTTTCAAATGCCTCTGTCAAGTTGCAGAGAACTTTAATTTACTACAGTCTAAACTCTAAACAAATCATGTACTGAAACTCTTGACATGAGGAAAAGTAAAAGGTCTTTCTACACTTAGTCTCCACTTAGACAGGATAAAACCACTGGGGTAAACCTCCAATACATCACTGTTTGGGACAACCTTATTCTAAAAGCAAGACAACCTTATAAATGGAAGCACATATCTATTACTGGCTTGTCAAAAGAATAATTAAAAAAAGCCATGTAACCCAGGCAAAAATAAAGTCCCAAACTTATTCATTAAAGAACCAAATAGCACACCTTTTAATTAGATCATACATGACACATCTTACACCACACAGTGAATCTGGGAGAACAGCAATCAGAACTAATTATTCAGGTTACCCTAGACCAAGTGCATGAATCCCAACAACCAAGCTCTTATCACTACTGCTGGATCCTCACCATCTCTGCACTCCCGTTAAGCGCATCTCGGGCTTATTTTACAGCTCTGTGTCTAAAAACATCCTGGTTCTTTCCCATGTGTGTACTTTTGGTTAGCAAAAAGATTAATGGAAGTAGTACTAAGGACTCTCAATGCTTGAGCACTCTTGGTTGCATTTGCATTGGAAAGAAATTAGCTTTGGTGCCAGACCAAAGTAAGAGGCAGTTCAAACTTATTTCCCCTCCAAGGCTAATTTGTTTGGCTTTTCCAGCCAAACAAATGCTAATAGTCAGGTATTCAGAGCGCTAATTAAACCAGATATACCCACACTGTAGCAGCTCCTCAAGGCAGCATTTTCAGCGAAACCAATGGAAGATCTCCAGAAACCACAAAGGAATTTAAGTCTCTCCCTCCACTAGCAGCACCTGCATGAAGCACATTTATCTGCATGTATGCAGACACAGACATAATAATAATTTTGAATACTTTAAATAATCCTCCCATTTCTTAGAACAAATCTGTTGCTCCACCTGTCCGTCTGCTTAGGCTGTGCTGGTTGTTTTGCCAACAACATTCATTTGCAGGCCACGATGTTCCTTGGGAGAAAACTCCAAGTGCTGGTCATGGTGGTAGCACAACTTCCCTTCGCGCTATTCCTGGTTTATTATTCCACTTAACTTCTCCCACGTCCTGCCTTGACTGTCATCTTTTAAGCTGTAAGCCACACTGACCTCCCCAGCAAATACAGTTTTCTTGTTGCAGCAGCTCTTGCTATTGCATTTTTGTTCCACTACAGACAGCTCTCACATTCAGATCCTTGGCTTTTCCATCAGTTACGCACCTTGACACGTGCTTTGTAAGAGGGGAGGCTGAGAGGGAATATAGGCCAAGAAGCACTGACAGCCCATCCCACTTTCAACCAAAAGCGCAAGACATCAGTCGTCACTCCTGAAAGCTGAAAACACAGGAGAAGGAGCAAGCAAATAGTCTTATGTTACCTGAGGGAGAGTAGGGCTTTTACATCCTCCAGATCTTGATCAGCTGGCTTCAACCCAGCCTTCCTAATCCTTACCGAGTTCCCCCCTGTGCCCACAACCCCACCTCTCAAAATGCTACCTGGTTTCCCTCTACTCCCAATTTCCTGGCAGCAAGCCATCTCTTCAGCCTACCTGTTCTGCCAGTTCTCCTACCTCTCCAAACAAGCACACTCCCTTTCCTGATCTTCACCTGCAGCTCCAGGATGTCATGTTTGCCAGAGTAAAAGTAATCTTGGCAACACCTGCGAGGGCAGAAACCCCAATCCAGGAAATGTATGGAGGTGATTTCTTGAATGATGTGGCAGGAGAAAACAAAGCCACAAAGCTCAGGCACAGGAAAGCTCAAAAATAGCATGTGGTACCAGGAAAGACGTGATTGAACAATGATGCCTTCCCAAGAGGGAGAGCAGATCAGGTGGCCCTGGGGGAGAGCAGGTGAAGCAAGGCAGTCTTCTAGAAGTGCTGCTGGGGCCAAGAGACTCTTGCCCCTCTCAAGCAAGGAAGGGGAAATAGGTGGCACAAAGAGACTTGGGAAAGCTTTTCTTGTTTTCACACTAGTTCATACGTTGTTTAAAGTACATATCCCTGTCCCACTCAGTCTGCTCCAGAGCATGCAGCATGTTTGTGGCGCTCATCAGCCAGGAAGCAGATGGATTCTGGAGAGACTTCCCTTCCAAAAAAACCCAAAACAGAACACTTTTAACACACATGTGTAATGGAGACATTCAGCCCAGGAACTCAGACAATATCTAATCTGAAATATAACACCTGAACCACACACAAGAAAGAGACACACAGAAGCCTCAGCTGTTATCTATTCCTATTGTGCTGTATTGCACAGTAAGGTAGACGACATTTGTGTTATGGTAGACAACCTCTGAGACATGAAGGTGAGGTTAAGCAGAGCACGAGGTTAAACTAGCAGAGCAATTCCTACATTTCTCCCATGTTCTTATGCCATCCTGCAGTATTTTAGTGAGAGCTCCTGGTGAAGATTAGAACATTTTCCCAGCTCAATATTCTGTATTATGCTATACTTTTTTCTTCTTTATTCTTTGGTTGCACTTACTACCTTGCATTAAATTAGAAGCCATTGCTTTTAGTTTGCCATCTGCAGAAGAATATGTTTTGCTGCAGTAATAATACCACATATCCAAATCTTGCAGTTAAACTCCTCACGAATTTGTATGATGTATACAACAGCAATACAAGAAAAGAGCTGGAAGAGTTGGTGGGGTTTTTTTTCTCTGCTCAAAGGTATTCCTCCCACCTTTCCCTGTACATTTCAATTCAGTACACATCTTCCGGTCTTCAAGTTTAAAAATAAAATATTCTTGTTTCTTTGCAGGGTGAACAAAAAAGTAAAGTAGGAGTTCAAAAAGCTAATTCCAGCAACATTGCAATTCTGGTGGCTCTATAGAGAAGCACTGAAACTTTTGATTATTTTACTCGCTGAAATCTGTTGTGAAAAATAAGACTTTTTTTTCCCCCCTGCCTTGGGGAGGTTGATGTCAGCAGCATTTTAATGGCACGTGCTCTGTATGTGCCCAGTATGGCACCTCTTTCAGTACTGGCAGGTATTAATGAACCTACAGGATCCTGAGCTGAGACACTACAACTTACTCTTGGAAGTTTCCTTTAGAGGAACTTTAGTTATACTCTCTCTCAGAATCACAGAACGAAGGCACCTTAATTCAAGAATTGAGCAGATTCCTCATTCTCCCAGCCAACAGCTATGTTCATGTTCCTTCTTACATTTCCTAACAAATTAATCTTTCCTTTGTAGCAGTCAAAGCACCCGTAAGTCTCAGAAAATCCTGAAAACTGTCCTGTAATGTGTCAATTTATTAAGCAGCCTAACACAGTTTGTGCTTGCTTTCCTTGTGTCTTCTCTCACTCTTGCATTTTAGATAGCCCAGTTTTACTACACTTTTTATAGCACTGTCTCTCACATACTGATCTTCCTCTGAAGATATTTAGTGTTACTGCACAGGGGTTTTTTTACCTCAAGATCAACCAGGACTTCATGGAATTTTGCCACACTAACATTTGTGAAATGTGACTTTAAACACTCGACCACCTCACAGTAAGTATCCTCCTTCACATTAGTTTTTGCTGTTCATTATTCTAACTCAC